GCCCCATGTTAGGGGTAGGGTTAACTTAAAAAATAAATAAATGAATGAATAAACACGGAAGGTCAACAATGTGGAATAGAGAGGCGAAAAAAGCTAACGGTAGCTCTCTTAGCTCTGCTGATAAGGAGAATGAAGTTCCTGGATGGTAAACACAGATAAGTGATGGGTTCACATGCACTCCTGAATGCTGCACGGCCCCAGCTCAGCTCTCCCCTGCACACTTGCTTAAACACTGACCTCCTATACCCCCTACTTGAAATGAATAGCAGAATCATAAAAGTCACAAAACAAGGGGAAAATGGCAGGCGAGGAGGGCTGAGTTTTCTGAGTTTTCTAAGTTCACAATTAGGTGAACACAAATGTAAACTGTTTCCCATTTGGTCAATACAGGAGCAATTAATGAACAAATCACAAGCCTTACTAAACATCAACATGCACTAACTCTGCATCTTGAAACCCTATTGTTTTCCAAAATAGGCGTTTTAAGGAAATCAATCTTCTTGGGGTGCCTGGGTGGCTCAGTCACTTAAGTGTCCAACTTCAGCTCAGGTCACGATCTCACAGTCTGAGTTCAAGCCCCACGTTGGGCTCTGTGCTGACAGCTCTGTGCTGACAGCTCCGAGCTTGGAGCCTGCTTTGGATTCTGTGACTCCTTCTCTCTCTGCCCCTCCCCCGCTCACACTCGGTGTCTCTCTCTCTCTCAAAAATAAACATTTAAAAATTTTCTTTTTAATTAAAAAAAAAAGGAAATCAATCTTTCCTTTTCATAATGATAAAACACTGACATGTTAAGAGTCACGTGAGATTTGCTGTTTAATAGGGCAGCTGTGCCTGATATACATCCTCCCACCACCCCATGAAAGTAGCATACGTAAACAGAAAAGGTTAAAACTGTTCAGAACACCATTAAACCAAAGGTAAGGAAGACCAGATCCAGTCAGAATTTTCCCCATTATCAATGGAAATAAGCCAAGAAGCACATTCTTAGATTGTACATGCTCCAGCCTCTTAACCAGAATAAGACCCAAAGAAGAAAGAAAGAAAAGACGGGAACATCCAATGTCTGGGCCTTACTCCAGAATACAGGAACTGCCACATCCCAACCACCTGGCAGCCTCTTCCGACCTTCTGAGGAGACTGTTCCTGCTTCATCTCAGCACTGTCAGCCTTACCCCCACAGAAACCACACCCACCACACACAGTCACCCCCCATACAGCCTACTCTTCTCTCCATCAGAGGGTACTAGAAACAACACCCACATCTACCAACAGGTGCATGTACAAACAGAGGGGTTTGGGGAACTTTCTCATAAATGGAAATGTTCTTTATCTTGTATCTATCTAGACTGGTGGGTAGTTACAGAGGGAATACGTGTGTCAACAGAGGAGCCTGGGTGGCTCAGTCAGTTAAGTGTCTGACTTCAGTTCAGGTCATGATCTCACAGTTTGTGAGATCTAGCCCAGCATCCAGCTCTCGGCTTGGATCTTCTGTCCCCAACCCCCTCTCTGCCCCTCCTTGAGGGTTCTCTCTCTCAAAGTAAATAAATAAACTTAAAAAAAAAAAAGTCATCAACCTATTCAATTAAAATATGTGCAAATTAGGCTGGGTGGTTCAGCTGTACGGAGAGCAGAGCCTGGTGCCTGCTTCAGATTCTGTGCCTCCCTCTCTCTCTGCCCCTCCCCTGCTCCCTCCCTCTCTCT